GGTTGTTTTCCAAATGTTTCGTTCCCAGGCTAGGTAACATCTTCAGCAGAGTGTAGGGGATCTGCTGAAGATGTTATCTAACCTGGTAACAAAATGTTTGGAAACCAACCCATAAGCTCGGAGAAGGAACCTCCACCCTCATCCTTATACCTGAGCTACAGATATTCACCCCTATTGCATATTAAGAGATGTTAAAAGCACTGGAAGTTGCCTCCTACTAAGCAAATGATGGAGTCATCTTGATTAAAATACGTCTCATACACACGCCACTTCTCCATATTCATCTACCAATTTACCTGGGTGGAAATTATACTGTCAGAAGCCAAATAACAGGAGTACACTAAATTGGGGTCTATTTCAATTGCCTTCCCCCCCCACACACACACACACAAGGTTGCAGGGAGAGGCTTCACCCAGTCTTTCTTGAAATATATTGGGAGGTTGTCCAAGTATTTTCTGTCCCTGGCTACTTCCTTTTATTGAACTCAGATTGAAATCTTTCAGTTTCAGGGTTCCATAGATGGCCCCAGGGAAAAGGTCATAGTTTAAGAGGAAGCTGATTCTGGATTTAGGGCAAGAGAGAGAACAAGAGGGTGTGCCACATACTCACAGGCAAGCAAGCTCGATGAGAGGATTGTAACATGCGATTCATGTTGAGCATGGGACGAAAAAGCCGGATGCGCTGATCCGAGCCCCGGAAAGCTTTCATTCCTTCAAAAAGCTAGATAAGGAAAGGGGGAAGGGGAGATAGAAAAAGTAAAGTGAATTATGCGGTAGAGATCATCTGCTGATACATGACCTGGGCTTAAACTTTAGCAGGTTAATGAAACAAAATGGCTACCTTATTTTTATGGCTTGATGTAAAGATGGGCAATTAACATTTCCCCTACAACCTATTTTGGCAATTCACAGACCTTTGGGACAACCATGATGTGGATGATTGAGAATTTCCATGGACATCCCAGAACTCTCTTTGACCATGCAAACAGAGAACACTGTTCCACTGTGCCTCTTTGATCTCCCAGGAAAAGAAAAACCAATTCCCAGCCCCAATGTAGTCATTTGCCCATTGTCTTCTGTCAGGTTTCTTTCACCCCCAATGTTAAATACTTGGTTTAACATTCCCAGATCACTCTACGATTATTTTCCTCCGTGACACTGAATCACAAATTAGCCAAGCCCACTGTAGCCTAGACCTCAGTTTTCAATCTTTTGTGGATGCTGAGAACAGACAGCAGCCCAGAAAACTAAATGGATATGTCCATTAAGTCATTAAGCTTCATCTCCAAAGATTTTACTCCTATTGATTTATGGAGTGCAGTGAGACTCTCCCTGTTAAACACATGTGTAATCCAAAATTAATGTAACGAAGATACATATCTTCTTCCTGAATTCTAATCATGGTACGACTCATTAGATCCGTTAATCAGTAAAGATTTCTGGGACTTGAATCTTTACTCTGAGTTATCTCATGAATAGCAACTTAACCCAACAATGTAATCTATCTTTTCCCCAATTTGGTAGATTCCAGATGGGCAGGAATACAAAGAGATGTCGATCTCCTGCACCCAGATTAGGGAAGATTAATCTAATCCATTTTAATTTTTTCAAAGATTCCTTTCAATATTTCTCTCCGTGATTGGTTGAACACATCAAGCTAAGCTTGCTGAATTATGTGAATCCAGCTTGGCTGAGCTGGATTCAACCAGGCTGAACTCAAGAGAAGGATCAAATGTGTCATCCATCTTGAGCCCCTTTGGTATGTCCACAAGAGAAAAAGGTGTGGTAAGCCCACACCTTGAATTCCATTGACTTTTATCTACCGCTAATTTGCTTTGATAGTAGTTCAGATTCTTGTAGAGATCATTAGCATACAATAAACCTATATTCATTTGAACTGCCTGGATTCCTGATTTCCTATACCAAGCTCATGGTATAGTGAAGAGGTATCAAACCCGATCGCATTGTGATATCGTGACATATCAGGCCATATTGCGATGTATCTGGATGTTTTTTGCCTTTGCAGAGCCAGTGGGTGGGTGTGGCCTGTGCAGAGCCAGTGGGGACTGTATCTGGCCCATGGCCCACTAGTTTGACAGGCCTGGTATAGTGCATGTATGATCAAAACCTGGAATGGTTTGCCCACCGGGCTTAGGACAGCCCCCGACCTCCTCTCCTTCCTCCGCAAACTGAAGACGTGGCTTTTTCATCAAATCGACTGACCCGTCTAGGGGCTTTTACATTATAATAATTTTAATTAATTTTAACTGGATTTTAATCTACATTTAAATTTAAATTGTTGAATTTTATTCTTTGTAAGCTGCCCTGAGTCCTTCAGGAGAAGGGCGGCATATAAATTGCATTAATTAATTAATTAATTAAAAAAAAAACCAACTATGGTTTGATAACCCATAGCCTAGATATGAGGACCATCTCTAATCTGTCATATTCCCAATTCTTCCTTTGAACCTGTGACTTTCCTCATCTATCACTCACCTGGGCTCCATCCGCTCTTCATCATCTCCCTGATGTCTATCATACATCAAGTCCTGACATAAAAACCCTTTCCAGCAAAGCAGCAGAAGAATGGAGGGTATATATATCTGTAACTCTTTAGAATGGAAACCATTACCTCCACTGAGTAATGCAGGGCTGAAGAAGCTGGGTGAAGAGAGAGATTCTGGAAAGGTTTGATGTGTGGTTTTCCCCAGCCATTTTCTTTGCTCCACTCCACAGTGAGCATATGGTCCGTGAAATTTTTCCCAAAGATCAGTTTGCTAGAATCTGGTTTGGGCTTTAGATGTTTGTTCAATTCAATCTGGAGATCTGAGGCCTGGAAGAAATGCAGGTTCATTGACTTGACTTTTCCCCCCCTCAATGTCAAATTAAAAATTGAAAGTTACCCCAAACATGTGGATTTATATTCTACCCACCTCTCCCCAACATGGAACAGATTCCCTTCATTGGGATGTGATGTGATGTGATGGGGTGAAATTTTCTCACCTTGAACGTAGTACTGAAAAATCTCTGAGGAGCAAGAAGTAGAAAATTTCCAGTTTTTCCTCTCAAAACCTAGAAGGAAATGGGGGGGAGGGGAAATACAAATCTGAATGAATATCTGCCCCCGGAATAGGGAAGCGGTCCTGCAAATATCCTTTTCTAAATTGCATGACTTAAACAGCTGTGCCTGAAAAATCTCTAAAGCAGATGTGCAGGTGTACTTCTTGCTTTGTTTGTCAATTACCCTGGAGCTTTCCCCATTTTAGGGGAAGAACCATAGTAAAAACTAAGCACATGCTTTGTTGCGTGCAAGTGACCCTCAGACTGAAATCTCCTTCTGGTTAAATTCATCTCAAACAGTTGGCTGGGAAAGACTGTTTTGTCCCCAGTATCTCTGGAGAAGAAACATGTAGTTATTCAGGATGGGCACAGTGAGCAGATGGTCCACAGGCTAAATTAAGCCAGAACATTTAACAAAATGGCTAATCGTTAATGCTGTTTTCCAACCCACGAACAAGCATTTGTGTTCCCAGTTCTAATTTCAAAAGACGGTGATTAGTTTTAGAGAGCTGCTAGAGGAAAATGCCAATAGGCTGACAAGAAAACAATAAGCAAATTGCTTCATTTGGTTTTCATCGATTCTCACCATGGATACTAAAGATCTGGGTTTTATTTTTAAGTTTCAACTTCTTTATGGCTTGTGATTAATTAAAAAGGTCAACTAAATTAAGGGCAATTACATGTAGTCCTATTCCTCCTTTTTGTTAACTGTTAGAGTCTGCTGAAAACTGCTGAAAACTGACAAGATGTGTTCCTGCCATTTTGAGGCAGGAAATATGTGAAAACCATAGTATAGATCAGGGATGTCAAACTTGATTTTATTGAGGGCCGCATCAGGGTTGTGTTTGACCTTGGGGGACCGGGGTGGGCATGGCCAGCTCAACATCACTAGTGTCAGGGGCACCTATGGTGGCCCAAGTGCTTTGCTAGCAAAAATGGGCTTCCGAGTTCCGTTTTTGGCTACAATGGCCTCCTGCAACCCTCTGCCAGTGAAAATGGAACCCTCGCAAGCTCCATTTTCACTGGCAAAGGCACTGCGGGCCAGTCTTTTGCTGTTTCCAGGGCGGCCCCATGGACCGTATCTAAGCATCCCATGGGCCGTATCTGGCCCCCAGGCCTTGAGTTTGATACCCCTGGTATAGATCCTAAAACAGTCAAATCATGGTTTAAAAGCACCCAAACAAACAAACAAAAACCTTAAAAGCACTAGTCCCACTTATTTTCTACAATTTCAAATATAGCTCTTGGTAACCTATTTTTCCCTCCCTGGACTTCAAACTTGAGTGTCTTTCTACAGTTAAGTATATGGTCCACAACATTTATTGTGTACTAATTTGTTGTGTACTAAACATCTGGTGTACTAATTTAGTAGTCAACAGGCCATTGATCTCGTGCAGAAATCTCCCGTGTTCAGATCAATCTCACCAAACCAGGTTTGGCGCGCAAGCCCTATGATTTTATGATTCTGTGACTAGAACTCACAGACTCCTGGTTTTTAGCCTGGTGCCTTAACCACTAGACCAAACTGGTCTTCTCATTCACAGATGTTTCATCCAGGATGATGAAAGGAGCAAGGGGGCTACAGGTTCCACACCTCTAGCATAAGACTCTTGCAAAAATCTTAGAAAGCGCTATGACTATTACCTAATTTTCTATATCTCCATCTAAAAAGACCGGCAGAAATAGAAGATATTCTCCCCAGCAAGGCATCAGGAGGGTAACAATATAAAAATTCAGTACCAAGAGTCTCAGTGACACAATTACCTTCCTGCAGCATGACTTGTTCAGCTAAAATCTCTGCACTGATATAAGCAAAGACCCAACATTCTTAAGCAAACAACTTCAGTTAATATGTAATCCACAAAGATAAACAGGATGATGGGAAAGCAGTAGGTGACATCCCATTCTGGTTGTGTTGTGGGAAGGGGAGTTCTGTATTATTTGTCCTGCCTGGGCTAAGATGGCAACCAGAGGCACAGTTTTTGGAAGAATAGCCTTTGCCAGTTTTCACTGGCAAGGCCCATGCACAAAGGGGGCAATTGACAAGGCAGGCGTGGGAAACATATTTCTGCAGAGATGAGTTTCTGCCAATCAGAGGCTGGAGCAGATCCCCCCCCCTCCCCGCTTTCAATCTGGACTGAACTTCAACCCTGTTGAATCACAACTGACAAGAGCCTGGATGCAAACTACATCAGAAGGAAGAGGCTGCCATGACTAGAACGTTCTCTACGGAAAAATAAAACTGCAGCTCTCACTGGTGACGAAAACAAGGAAAATGAAAACAAGGTAAGTCTGCATGAATCTGGGAAGCAAAATCATTACCTTTTCTCGCCCCATCTGTCCTGTCCTGCCTCGATGGGGAATTGTGCAATTTGTTAGAAACCGAGAAAGCAAAGAGAAGTTCAGTGCTTATGCGGAGAAAATAAAAAATAGTGCAGGTAAAAAATGCTGCGGTGAATTCCTAACAGTAATTAGGATTAATTAGGATTAGTTAACAGTAATTAGAGATTAAAGGGGTTCCCAAAGTGGCTAAACTGGTTGGAAATTCTGGGAGAAATTGTTCCAGTTCATCTAGAGATTCTTTCATTGGAGCAGAAGGTATTCAAGGTTTAAAATAAACTTTAAAGTATAAAGGGAGATGATTTCCACCACCACCTCTCCTGAGTTCCAGAAGAGATGCAAAGATAGGATTTATACCTTGCACCTCTGTTTCTCAACCTTGGCCACTTGAAGATGTGTGGACTTCAACTCCCAGAATTCCCCAGTCAGTCTTGCCACTTTGGGAACTCCTTGCTTCCTGGGGAATTCTGGGAGTTGAGCAGGGGTAGGCTGCTGGGGGTTCGCAGGGGTTCGGGAGAACCTGTAGCTAAGACTCTGTGCAGTTCAGAGAACCCCCAAATCCCACTCCTGGCCTTGCCCCGCCAACCCCTCCCAGGAGTCCCCACGCAGCCCATTTTGGATGCAGGTATGTGCAGGGCGCATGCAGAGGCTCGGGGAGGGTGAAAAACAGGTCTACTGGAAGTCCCAGAGGGCCCCTGGAGCCTGGGGAGGCCATTTTCGCCCTCCCGGAGGCTCAAGGAAAGACTCCAGAGCTCAGGGAGGGCAAAAACACCACACACACACACACCATGGTGCAGGAGGCTGACTAGGCCACACCCACCATGGCCACGCCCACCCAGCAACAGGGCAGAGAACCCCTTGCTAAAATTTTTGAAGCCAACCCCTGGAGTTGAGTTCACACATCTTCAAGTAGCCAAGGTTGAGAAACAGTGTCTTACATTATGCTATGCTTTAACAGTTAACAAGCCACAACTCGATGAGTTCACACATCACACGATGTTGTAAATGACAAACTATGGCTTAGAGATCATAATAGCTGTATGGACAAAGCATACGAAGACAATGTCACCCAGTTCACATGATGGCTGAGGGTAGTTTTGTGACACTCAACCAAAGATACCATGATGCCTCAATTAAATTGCTAAACAAAAAATGTATTAAAGCTAACCTGGATTTTGACTGAATGCATTTAACAGAGTAACAGAATTGGAAGGGACCTTGGAGGTCCTCTAGTCCAGCCCCCCCCCCGCCCTGCTCAAGTAGGAGACCCTATATACCATTCCAGACAATTGGCTGTCCAGTCTATTCTAAAAAGTCTCCAGTGACAGGGCATCCACAACTTCTGAAAGCAAGTTCTGTCTGTGATTGATTATGATGGATAAGCTGAAAGCAGCTGACCCAAGTTTATCTATTCAGTTTCCTTGAAAAGCAGGGATTTCAACTCTGATCTCCCACCCTTGGTGAGTAAAGTCCAATCTTCTACTGAGGTTAGGTTGGCCTGCAGTTTTGAATGTCTGCCAGAGAAACTACAAAGCTGGAGTAACAACTTTCAGGGCTGAAGTTCAATCCTGAGATTTTTAAAAAGATCGCGAGGACGAGGGGGAGTGTGGGGGAATCTGCTTCCCTTCTCAAAGGAAAGGCCACAGCCTTGCTTACCTCCCAGGATTGTTGTTGTGGAGGAAAAAAATGGGGGAAAAAGAAATCACATTGCCTTAAAAGCAGGGAAAGCTGGATAAACTCAAATAAACAGACACACTGAGAGGCATTAAGAGCAGCGAAGCGAGGCAAGAACAGCTGAGAAGCCACAATACCATTACAGAGCCTGATAGTACAGTGGACTAAAGCACTGTTATTAACATCTGCTGCTTGCAATTACTGCAAGTTCAAATCTCACCAGGCTCAAGGTTGACTCAGCCGTCCATCCTTTCAAAGGTAGGTGAAATGAGGACCCAGATTGTGGGGGCAATAAGCTGCCTTTGTATAAATATACAAAAGTATGAAGGCTATTGCTTAATGCATTGTAAGCCCCCTGAGTCTCTGGAGAATGGCAGCATATAAATTAAAAAGCAAAAAAAAAAAAAAAGCAAAAAATTATTCCATGTCACAACTGGATCATCCCCGAGAGAGAGAGAGAGAGAGAGAGAGAGAGAGAGAGAGAGAGAGAGAGCAATTTGCTTAATGATTAAAGCACCAGGCTTGAAAGCAAGAGATTGCAAGTTCAAGTCATGCCTTAACCATGAAAGCCATCTCATCTCACAGAGTTGTTGTTGCGGGGAAAATAGAAGGAGAAAGGCATGTTAAATATATTCTCTGCCCTGAGTTATAAATCAATCAATCAATAAGGCAGCTGAACTTAAAGAACCTTTCCCCTGGAGCCTCCCTAAACTTCTCTGGATCTACTAACCTCTGGATCAATCAATCATCAGCTCAACAGGGATTTCAAAGGTTGGCAAATTGGTTTGTAAAGAGAGTTTCTCCCTGCTTTCTTGCCTAAGCCTTTTCAACCTGGAGATGCCACTGGACATTCCTTGGGCAAAACAAGTATTTAAATCTCTGAGTTTTCCATGACAGGTTATGGTTTGAAATCAGGTGGAAGAGAAGGACATGGAAACCCTTATTTTTTAAGTTAAGTTGTAATTCTAAGATTTTATATTCATATAATTCTCTACTTTTACTGCAGGGTATATATCCTATGTGATATTTTCAGTTATATTGGCCACCAGGAGGCACTACGTTTCCTATTATGGGTGACACCTAGTAAGGATGAAAGTGGTGTATGCCAGTGGTAGGATTCAAAAAATTTTTATTAGTGGTGGGTGTCGCTTGGTGAGTGTGGCATGGCATGGCATGGTTTGGTAGGCATGGCAGGGGAAGGATACTGTAAAGTCTCCATTCCCTCCCTACACCAGGGGAAGGTTACTGCAAAATTCCCATTTCCTCCCAATCAGCTGGGACTCGGGAGGCAGAGAATAGATTGGGGTGGGGCCAGTCAGAGGTGGTATTTACCGGTTTTCCGAACTACTCAAAATTTCCACTACCGGTTCTCCAGAACTGGTCAGAACCTGCTGAATACCACCTCCTGGTGGCCAATGAACAGTATTTCTCAACTTGCAACAGTTTGTTTAGTGACCGTTCAAAGTTACAACAGGACTGAAAAATGCAACTTATGACTGTTTTTCAGAGTTACGACGTTTGCAGCATCCCCATGATCAAAATTCAGACGCTTGGCAACTGGTTCATATTTATGACCGTTGCTGTGTCCCAAGATCATGTGATCATGACCTTCTGCAACCTTCTGACAAGCAAAGTCAGATTCATTTAACAGCCAGGCTATTGACTTCTTAACCAGTAGTCTCGCCTGGACTACTGCAACGCTCTCTACATGGGGCTCCCCTGGAAGGGCACCCGGAGGCTCCAACTGGTCCAGAATGCAGCCGCACGGGTAGTTACGGGAGCTGCTTGGCGCTCCCATACAACACCTCTCCTGCGTGAGCTGCACTGGCTCCCAGTGGTCTTCCGGGTGCGCTTCAAGGTGTTGGTTATCACCTTTAAAGCACTCCATGGCATAGGACCTAGATATCTTCGAGACCGCCTGCTGCTACCGACGGCCTCCCATCGACCCGTGCGCTCCCACAGAGAGGGCCTCCTCGGGGTGCCATCAGCCAAACAATGTAGGCTGGTGACCCCCAGGGGGAGGGCTTTCTCTGTGGGGGCACCTACCCTCTGGAATCAGCTGCCCCCAGAGATAAAGAGAATCCAAGACCTCGGTGCCTTCCGCCGTGCCCTTAAAACCTTCTTTTTCCAGCAAGCCGGGCTGGCCTAAGATTTTTTAAAATGTTTTTAATTGTTTTGTCATTGCTTTTAATTATGGGGCCAAATATATATATATCTTTTTAATTGTATTTTAATGTTTGTAGTTTATGTTTTTACTTTGGCTGTACACCGCCCTGAGTCCTCAGGGAGAAGAGCGGTATATAAATTTGATATAAAATAAATAAAAATAAATAAATAAAAACCACAATGATTCACTTAACAGCTGTGGCAAGAAAGGTTTTAAAAGAGAGCAAAACTCACTTAACAAGTATCTCACTTAATAACAGAAACGTTGAGCTCAATGATGGTCGTAAGTCGAGGACTACCTGTAATTGCAAGCAATAAGAGTTTTATGTACATTGTGCAACAGATATCCAACAATGGATGGAAAGCATTTCTCCATTAAAATGAGTGATTGTAAAGCTCTTTTTTAAAATGTTGCAACATGGCATCTTGGACTTCCAAAGGTTGAGTACTCTCAAAAGATCCCCTTTGGATAGTGAGATAGAAGGCATATAAATTTAATACTATACGTATCTGGATCCGTTCCAGTCGGGCTTCAGGCCCGGGTATAGCACGGAAACGGCATTGGTCGCATTGGTAGATGACCTTTGGAGGGCTCAGGACAGGGGGTGCTCCTCTGTCCTGGTCCTGTTAGATCTCTCAGCGGCTTTTGATACCATCGACCATGGTATCATGCTGCACCGGTTGGAAGAGTTAGGGGTGGGAGGCACCGTGTTGCGGTGGTTCTCCTCCTTTCTCTCTGACTGGTCACAGTCTGTGTTGACAGGGGGGCAGAGGTCGACCCCAAGGCCCCTCATATGTGGGGTGCCACAAGGGTCGGTCCTCTCGCCCCTCCTGTTCAACATTTATGTGAAGCCGCTGGGCGAGATCATCTGTGGTTTCGGGGTGAAGAACCACCAGTACGCTGATGACACCCAGCTGTACATGTGATTCCCGGACCACCCCAACGATGCCCTTGAAGTGATGTCCCGGTGCCTGGAGGTCGTGCGGATCTGGATGGGGAGGAATAGGCTCAGGCTCAACCCATCCAAGACTGAGTGGCTATGGTTTCCGACGTCCCGATATAGTCAGTTAGCGCCATCACTGACTATTGGGGGCGAATCAGTGGCCTCCTCTCTTCTCCCCCACGGAGAGGACGCGCAACTTGGGCGTCCTCCTGGATTCACGGCTGTCTTTAGAAGAGCATTTGACGGCCGTGACCGGGAGGATTTTTCATCAGGTTCGCCTGATTCGCCAGTTGCGTCCCTTTCTGGATCGGAACTCCCTATGCACAGTCACTCATGCCCTCATCACCTCCCGCCTGGACTATTGTAACGCTCTCTACATGGGGCTCCCCTTGAGGAGCACCTGGAGGCTCCAACTAGTGCAGAGTGCGGCCGCGCGGGTGGTAATGGGAGCGACATGGCGTTCCCATGTAACACCTCTCCTGCGTGAGCTGCACTGGCTCCCGGTGGTCTTCCGAGTGCGCTTCAAGGTTTTGGTTACCACCTTTAGAGCTCTCCATGGCTTAGGACCTGGTTATCTACGGGACCGCCTACTACCACAAACAGCCTCCCACCGGCCGGTACGCTCTCATAGAGAGGGGCTCCTCCGGGTGCCGTTGGCCAAACAATGTCGACTGGCGGCCCCTAGAGGGAGAGCCTTCTCTGTGGGGGCACCTACTATCTGGAACAAGCTCCCCCGAGAGATACGGAGGATCCCGGATCTGCGCACCTTCTGCCGCGCTCTTGAGACCTTTTTATTTCACCAGGCGGGCCTGGCCTAATCTTTTCCCTCTTTTAATTACACATATTTTAATTTGTTTTTTTAAATGATTGGGGTTTTAATATGTTTGGGCCAAATTTGTTTAATTCGATTTTACTTTGTTTTTAAATTTTGTATCTATGTTTTTTACTGTTTGGCTGTTCACCACCCTGAGTCCTTCGGGAGTAGGGCGGTATATAAATTAAATAAATAAATAATAAATAAAATATTTAAAAAACAACAACATGCAGATAGAAGATTTTGCCAGCCAATGGCATTTGAAAGCATGCAAAAAACTCATTTAACAGTAGAGGGCAGCAAATGCCAAACCACACAGACAAGTCTTCCCTGCATAAAAATATACCATAATCTACATTCCATCTGCTTTAATAGCTTTAAACAACCACTTTCTTCCGGTTTTAAGGTTTGAGTAGCCTGGAGAAAAGTTAACTCTCTGCAGGTGATAAGGCAAATAGTTACTACAACCTTGTCCAAAGTTTCTCTCTCTCTCCCTCCGTCCCTCTCTCCTTGTCTAGAGAGAGAGAGAGAGAGAGAGAGAGAGAGAGAGAGAGAGAGAGAGAGAGATAAACAGCTATCAATCTTTCTCTGTCTGTCTCTATCTCTATCTATCTATCTATCTATCTATCTCCCACTGTCTTTGTCTGTCAATCTGTCTTTCTGTCTCTTTCTCTAAGCACAAGGACTAGAAAGTTGTGATTAATTTTAAGCTTCAATATCTCACATTTTACCCTAAATGTTTTACTTGAATAGCAAACCTATTTACCTGTAGAATATCCTGCCCTTGGAAAAATCAGTGACAGGAACAGAAGGACTGACTAAACCAGTTTCTTCCCTTCCAAATTGGTATCTGGGATCACAGCCAGGAAGCAATGACATTTTCCCTTGCCTAAAGCAAAGGCTCAGTTTAGAAGTAAACCAGATGGATTTGCAGTGAATTAGAAAGACTCTGCCTCCACCCTTCTAAGAGAAACAGAAGAAGCATTAACAACGGCAACACACTGTCAATGTCAAGAAGAGAACATGAGCATGCAAGTAGGGGCAGAAAGCCCCAAATATTCCAGTATGGAAGTTTTGAATCTAAGGAGCCTGAACTGAAATCCTACCTCAGCTACCCATTACTAGGCATTGGTTTCAATTTGCTCTCTGTAAAATAGTCTCGCAATCCTTTTAGGTTTACAAGAGTAGCTGCCTCACCAGTTATCTAACCTCTCCCTCAATGCCTACTCTGCTTTAAACTACAGAGGAGTTAAAGAGTGCATTTATTAAATTTCTACACCACCCATCTCACCTAAGTGCCCCTGGCAACATCTGCAACACCATATGAAAACCATAAATAAAACACAAATTAAAAACAGGGGTAGGAACAAATTACAACTTACAAGTAAAAATAAAAAAACAGTTAAAATTCAGAAGGTTAATTAATTTGAGCTCCCGGGCAAATTCAAAATCCCTCTGGGAAAAGGGAAAGCAGAGAAAGCAAATCCCCAGGAAGGACTGAACAGGCGGCTGCCATAGCCATAGCCACGTGGCAGGGGGCAAATCTTTTCTACAGCCCAGTGAAATGCTATCCCGGGTGTCTCCTGTCAGCCTCTAATTAAAGGGATTAGAAAGCAAACAGGAGATTAACAGCCTCAAGAGAGTGTGTTTAATGTCTTCTAGGAAACCAGACACCTCACTGCCCATCTCTTGGGGCAAAATCTATAAATTCAGGTTACATGAGGGAGCTCCTCAGAACCAATACAGTACAGCTTCAAGTGATTCTTGCATATGTCAATCTTCTTGGCCAGATTCCTTCTTCTCTATTTTTCCTTTCAATTTCTTTCTCAACAAAGCTTAATCATACCGAGCATTATGGGAAAACTGTTCTGTTCTGCTTTTCCTTCCATTGTTTTTCAATTCTCAAAAGTCCTAGCCAGCAGCTAATGCTTCCTTTAACAGTAAAGTAAGATTTGACCATTATATAGGTTTAAGGGATTGACTTTAGTACTGTTACTGTAAACTTCACCAACCAGAGATAGGTACCAATGGGTCATTTATTCAAGGTGCTAGAATCAATCCCCTGAATACCCCATAGACTGTGCCAAGATCCAATTGCAGATATGATTTCTTATAAATCCAGAATTCCAACAATTCCTTTTGGAAAACTAGCTTTTAGGTAAGGTGACCAATTGTCCTCCTTTAGCAAGGACAGTCCTTCTTTTGTAAGTTCTGTCCTCTCTCGAAAAGTGTCCTCCTACATGTCCTCCTTTTTGATATTTGAAGACTAATCTGTAAATCTTCGTATTTGATTGATGCTGATCCAATCCGTTGCATGTGATGTGATGTATTTGTATTTGACATGACAATTCATCAAGGCTCGGTACAGTGCGGTGAGATGTGATTATGAGATGCATGCGCTCCACACAGGAGAATTATTTTGAGAGAATGCACCGCGCGCAAGAATGCGCCAAGAGCGCAAGTGGCTTTGTTTACTTCTTACTGAAACATAACACGGCACACATGCATGTGTCTTCCTTCTCATTGTAAAAAAGTTGGTTACCTTATTTTAGGACTTATTTATAACTAAAAATTTGAACCTGATAGTAGTTGATGGGATTTTCTTTATGACTTACATTACTAAGGAATGCAAGTAGCGCAATCAAGCATATTCTCTCCCCCACCTCCAATGCTCAAATTAGCATTAGGAGACAGTGTAGGAAATTGATAAAGATCATAGAATCCAAAGGGCTGGAAAGAAGAACCTAAGATCTTCTAGTCAGTGTAACCTACTGCCCAAGGCAATTATGTAAGTTTGCGAAACCCAGTAACAATGGAAAAGATTTGCCTGGGTATTTTGTGCAGTCCTCCAGTTGGAGACAATCCTGTGAATTACTTCTTTTCCCCCACCTCATGTAAATTAACCTGAATTTCCTCTCCACAGGATTGAGATTCCTTGTTAAAAGAATATGCATACTCCTGCATGCAAACTACAAAGAATTGGGTTTAGTGACGTAATACTAAGAAAAGGAGATTTCCTGATCCTAACAGAGGGGCACAGAAGTAACTTCAATAATAATAACTACCCTGATTCTTGGTCTTTCAAAATTTTGGGCTTCTTTACATTCCTGGCAAGTAATAACACATTGATTCTCCTCCCTTTCTTTCAGTAGACAGAAACCTGATCATGTCACCTCCCTGAATCACCTTTATTCTTCAGGAAGTTTCAGTTCTCCTAAGCTGAATGTCAAAAAGTCAAAGGTGAGGAAACAAATAAATAAATAAAAGGAACATGATGTTCTAAATATGAGTAGCTTACATTTTAAAAAGCAGTTGAAAGATTACAGCCATCAAGGGAGGACCTGAGGCAACAGTTCTGAAGTTTACAACAATGCAACAGTACTGGGAAGAGAATTACTAGTCAATCTATGGTAGCACCTTCTGCAATGTTCATCAGCCCACTATGACTAATGATCAGGAGTTACAGGAATTGTATCACAAACATCTGGCAGACACAGTATCAGGTTGACTTCAAAATTTCTCCAGATGTTATGGCTCCGATGTATGTCCTTTAAACAAGTCTTCCCCAACACCTTACAACAAAGTTGGAATTGAAGCTCTCAGAATTTTAAACTGCATGAGCAAAGGCTTTGGGTTAACCCAGGGATCAGCAACCTGCGGCTCTGGAGCCGCATGGGCTCTTTCATCCCTCTGCTGCGGCTCCCTGTCGCTCAAAATATGAGTTGCAACCACCACGATTTATTGAGCTTTTCGACTTCTGGTAGGCTAACCACAGATAAATCCAAGAAAAGAAAAGTTTCAGAAGAAAACATAATGTTTAATTCAACTACATATGCTAGTTTTGTGATCGCTCAGGAAATAGTCAGGCATGGGAAGGGTTTTGTAGCTCCCAGAGTTTTCTTTTGTTTGGAAAAAGGGTCCAAATGACTCTTTGAGTGTTTAAAGTTGCTGACCCCTGGGTTAACCTGTACTTTTTGAAAATGGTGTTATGGCATTTGCCACAAGTTTTAATGGGAAAATTGGTGTTGGTTGGGAGTTCTGGGTGTTATGGTAAGGAGGATGCCCCATTGGCCAAATCTATCTTCAATGAATCAGAAAAGTACCATTCTCTAAATTGCACCTTTACAGATTAGCAGTTTACTTTGAGAAGAGATATGTCTCAGTTCAGCCTAAGAACTATTATTTGGGCCATCCAAGCTAGAAACATGCATTGAAAGAAGGTACAAAAGTATGTTTAGAGATGGAGGGTGCTTTCTTTGAAAAATGCATAAAGAAAAATTATGTCCTTATCTATTTTTTCTTTGTGAGTTTAAGACTTTTTAGAAGAAAGTTCAGCTTTAGAAATCCCTCAGAATTGCGCTATACTGCAAATCATCTTTTTCTGTAGGTCACGTTGTTATATATTCTAAGAAATGAATAAAGAATTATTTCCCCAAATATTCAACTTTTGTAACTCTATTATCAAAACCACAGGAGGGTGTAAATTTCTTCAGTGTTAGCATAAGAAACATAACTTGAAGAAGAATATTTATTTTTTTTATTCAGAACCTTTTACCCAGATCCAGAGAAAAAATTTCCTTAATGTTAAACAGGAAGAGAAACCGGGGGGAAAAAATAAGAACGGAATAAGTATTTTTCCATTCTCAAATATACACTTTAGTTATTTCTAAGAAACTAAGACTGTTTTGCAGAATGACTTAAGAGGATAAGAGTAAAAATATTTTGGGGGGTGGAATCTAACCTCATCCAGGAAGAATTTTGAGCTGAAGAGCTCAAATGAGTGTAATTGAAAGGACTGCTATCTTAAGGAGACGTTGGGGAAATTCCACCGACTTAAAAGAAACAAAAGCATCTGTCAAATCACAAATGAAAAATCCATTTGACAGAAGTATCTATGGAGAGGGCAAAGTAATTCAGGCAATTCCAGCTGGGAGAGTCTCTCCCCATCACCCCCAATCAAAGAAGCAACATATTCAGAGGTATAAGTTCTAGGTCTCCTTTCCAAGACCATAAAACTTTTCCTGGTGGGGAGACAAAAGGAGGGGTATTTCGTTCCCACCATCCTTCGGTCAATCCCGAAGGTGCCTTTGAGAAACTGCAGGGCGGGGGAATCAGTGCATCCGAGAGAGAGAGAGATGTTTGCCTTGGTGGGCTCAAGGAGGGCAGAGCTCATTTGAGGGGAAAAGGAGCCAAGGGGGCATAGAGGAAGGCAGAAAGCAAAGGGGTTGTTTTGCCAGATGGCAAACCTAGTGTGGGGTTTATCCCACAGGGAAGGGCAAAAAATTGGGGGATCGAGGGAGGCAAGATTTGGGTTTCCTGGCGGAGATGCAGAAAAAGACCTGACAGCTGGGAGGACGTGAGGAATGCCACTTTGGGGACAGCAGAGAGAAAGGAGGAAAAAAACCTGCAAGGGGAGCATTTGGGAAAAGGGAGGGGGGCATTTTCTATCAGCAATGTTTCCGCCCGGAGCTATTTATAAACAGAACCGGAAACGTGGGGGGGCCCCCCTCTCCTTTTATGCGAGAGGGATGGAGGCCATCCCCCCACCGCCGTTTCCTGTACCCCAACTTACCTGCCGTAAGCACCCCGGGACTCCCATGGTAACTGCCATGCTGTTGTTGTTAAGGCTGTGGTTTAATGGGACTGGGCGGGGCCTGCGGTAAACCAGGCCCCAAAGCGTCCCTCCCCCCCCCCACCGCCCCGCCCCGCCTCTGGCGACGCCTCGTTTGTCCGCTCCCGGAGGCTGTTTTGAGTTGAAGTGGGGAGGTTTTGCGTGGCTGGGGTGCAACTTTTGGGGTCGGGCTTCTGTTGTCGTAGAGAGCACCTCTGGGCATGTACAGAGCGCCGCTGGCTTCCGTGTACTTGTCTGAAATTGTGCAGGGTCTCCTGCTTGAGGAGGGGTTGGGGGTGGGCTAGAAGACCTCCAAGGTCCCTTTTCCAACGGTTATTATTCTGTATTCTGTCTGGACAAAATCCTGGAGTTTTCCTGGCAGCATTTTTGCAAGCGGTGTGCACTCAAGGTCACCCAGCTGGCTTTGTGTGTCTTCAAGGCAGGACTAGAACTCACAATCTTAGGGATTCTAGCCTGGTACCTTAACCACTACACCAGCATGTAATGTGGTTATTCATTGAGATATTTCTGCCAAGGGGTTCTTTGTTATGAAACGGCCAGCCATACTTCCTCCCACATTCTGGAGAAAAACAAAAGATTTTGCTTTGTGCATCCACCTAATACAATCTCCTTGTCTGAAAGTAGAAATAAAAATAGAATCAAAATCAAATCAAAACCAGCCTGCCTCCTATTGAAAAGAGGCAATTTAGTGGAGCAGATAGTGGCCAAATGGATAATGTCCCAGATACAGGGGAAAAAACAAAAAAGAGGCTGTGGCTGGGAGTTGGGAAGTATCTTTGAGGGGCACATACAAGGTATTTTGCACATAAAAGATGGTTAATTGCTTGGTTTTGTTTACTTGCACACACATCTTTCTTGGCTCCTACTCTTCTACACAGTCAAGTGCAGGGGGGGCACAGCCAATCACACCCAGGTCCTTCTAACACACCCTTTAACACAGCCAATAACATGGCTGGCATATACACCCTTCAAGGAGCACATGTTTGTTTCAGCCCAAATGTATGCAGAGCAAACAACAGCTGCTTTGGCACATAGCCAGTAGGTGAGGCACCAGCAAACTGTATTTCATCTGGCTATGCATTGTTTGCTTAATATTACAGCCTTTCCAAAAACATAGGGCACATTGAAGAGGAAATGGGAAAACATTGCACATTAATTCCTACCTAAAATCAATGCAGGCTGAAAAACATCAAAAGGAAGCCAAATGACCTCTTGCTGGACTAAATACAACCACAAAATGCTATTTTTTGTTAAAATTTCTAAGTGGGTTGTTTTTTTTAAAAAAAATGCCGAGAATCTGCTGAATTATATGCCATTGAATAGATATGTGCATTATGTCTCCAGTCTTGGTCTGAATTCTTAAATATTATTTGTTCAAAGTATAAATGATGAATTGGAAAGCTGCTACTTGATCGAGAACAACTGAATCTTCCACTGTCTTCGTCTCTCAAAAAAGGGGGAGAATAATCAAAACTGCACTCAATTTAAAAGGTGATTGTACTTAAAAAAATTGAAATCCCCTACAAAAAGGATTCTGATTACTTACAAACATCAACTTCATCCACTTCTCTTGCTTTATTATGTCCTTGAACAAATCATAACAAAACCCCAGCTTCATCCCTTAAGCAATAAAAGTGAACAACCTCGGGTGACCGTTATGAGATAAAGGAGGAGGAAGGTTAAAGGAATTAGAAAATACTAAAAATGCTTTTGAATGATTGATGTTTTTATTTTAAAAAGGGAAGCTCTATTTCTGAGTTCTGTTTTCATTTGTTATGTAACAGTCAAGTCAAATGAAAAATTGCCATGCAGGACGGAAGAGAAATGGAGGAAGTTAGGCAGGCAAAGACTTCTGAAAACTGCTTCATCTCGACTCTCTCACATGTCATTCATCAGGGACTTTACCATCATGAGCCCTGTGGAAAGAATCCCGGAAATACCCATTTAATCTCTCTTTTTTTAAAAAAATGTATTTTGGATTGTGAAGCTTTTTTGGCAAGATTGGTGTCTAAAAGGTGGAATGATAATGACTGATTTGATTTATATTGTACTTTATTTTGAGAGTTCCTGCCTAGCTTTCTCCCCTAAGAACCCTATGAGATACGTCTGAGAAATTTCCTGACATTTAGAACAATTGGAACAGTGGAACAACTTGCCTCCAGAAGATGTGGGTTCTCCAACACTGGAGGTTTTTAAGAAGAGATTTGTCTGAAATGGTATAGGCTTTCCTGCTTGAATACCTCCAAGGTACCTTCCAACTCTGTTAATCTGACCCAAAATCATCCACTGAGCTTCCATGGCTGAAAGTGGACTACTGTATGATCTAGGGCTCCTTGGTGTGGGTTCAACACCTTAAGCATTGTGCCATCATACCAGCTCTTCATTATGATAATACAGGTAGTCCTTGACTTACGACCACAACTGAGCCCAACATTTCTGTTGTTAAGTGAGACATTTACTTTCTTTAGTGCCGTTGTAATTTGAATGGTCACTAAGCGAACTGTTGTTGAGGACTACTTGTAACAGCAGCAGTCATTTGTTTTAATCAACCATAATATTCTTCCATCATGTATTACTCTTAGTGTTACATTTTAATTATTTGCTCTCT